GCTTGCGCGAGGAGGCCGGGGAAGCTCGCGGCTTAGGAGCTAAAATGCGCCCCCGGACTTCCATGGCCAGGACGACGCATTTGTCACCTGCCCCACATCACATGTTGTGTGCCGCACAACACATGTTATGTTCCTTGCAATGCGCCCCGCGATGTCACCTGTGTGGGTTCCACAACACATGCGCACAGCATGCATGCTGTGCGCATGACAACATAACAAAATATCGTGTGAAAACCACACACACATATACGTATTCCGCCGCAAACTGGAGGTTCATCAGGCAAGCCACCCGTCACAGTTGCGCAGGGCTTGTAACTTAAACACAACCGTTTTCTTTTCAGCACGCCCTTTTCCGCACTGGAGGCCCGAACCGTTTGTATACCGGCGGCCCCTGGATGTGCAGGAGTGGGCGAAGGCTGCTTCGCAACTCTATCTGCCACCGGCCTCGATGGCAAAAGTGACGCGACGGCACCTTCCCAGCCGCAGGAGTTCAGGGTGGGCTGGACTGCTGCGGTGAGTGGAGCAAGTGCCAATGGAAGCTGAAGTCAGTGGAGTAAGGGATGGCGGGGAGGATGTGGTTGGCGCGGGGCCCATCTGGGAGCGGAGAAGTGCTTGGCTGGGCCATTTGCTTTGGAAATGCCAAGTACAGCATAACACAGCACAAAACTCTTTGCAGCCAACGTTCTGGCAAACTACGCAGACCTCAACGTAACAACTGTCAATGCAGCATGAAGGCATAACAGTGGGCGCGACACATTTGTTTCCCCACGCCTTTTTGCCGCGGAGTCGGTCAGCGCGGCCCGGGGCGCCTTCAGCGACCGAGAACACGAGGTCGCAAAGGAGCAGCACGTCGCCATCGACATTGGCCGCAGGCGCCGCGGGTAGCGACGCAATACGGTTGCGCCAAGGTGTCGGCCACGTCCCGGTGTCTACGACACACCCTGGGTTCAGGCACGGGACCCTACCGCTGCAACATGCTGCCGCTGCACTGCTTCGTGCTGCGCACAAGAGGTGTTGCGGCGCTCACAACATGTTGTACATGCAAGGATGAGCCGCTCTATCACAAAGCTCAATAAGCATGTCAATGCTGAACGCAACATTGGTTTTTGTCTTTTGGTGTGTCCTGTCGCCCCCCGTCAGGATGGAAAGAAAAGGTTAAAGGCCACCCAATGAGGAAATAAGTTAACGAGCTATCAACATCATTCGATGATTAAGGGGTTGTACAGTATGGGGTGTTGCTAAGTTGGATGTAGTATTTCATCAAGTCCAACGTTGCATACATATATATGTGTGAACAGCCACATCCACAGTTGCCTGGGTCGGGGCCACATACGGCACGATGGCATGCGTGTCAGCCCTTGTTGCCTTCGACGCTCGTGTCAGATCTATCCACTTCTTCCACGTGGCGTCTGTAAAGCATTGCTTCGAAGCCGGCGGGAAGTCCACAGCATGCACGGCATTCATGGGGCGGAAGAGAAAATGCCTACTTGCTGCGACGCCTGCAGCCATGGCTGATTGGGCGCCACGACTTTTGCAAGGGCAGTTGAAGTGTCGCCTATGTCATGTCGCCTTTCCCAAACCGGGAGGCAACCAACTAAAGCCTGCAAGGATTGATATGTTGGACTTGCCATATTTTCCTAACTGGTGTTGCGATCATGGGCGATCAAATTTTCGCAACCCGCGTCTTTAACAGAGAGAAACAGCACGAGACTGTGGCAGGAACATCTGGACATAGTCTGCATATCTTCACCACTGGTGGTGATGCAGTGCATGGCGCCGCTGCGCGGCCGACGGCACTGGCAGCAGGGAGCAAATGCTCGGTACAAAGGCGCGCGTGATGCGGGGGGCCTCCGCTTTTGTGGTGCCCACCATTACCCACCACGTGCTGTTTTGCCGCCGTGCTTGCGGAAGGGTGTCAAGCCTGACCACAGGCAAAAGAGGCCAATGAAAGTGCGAATCAGACGAACACTGAGCACTCTCTGACAACAGCCAATGCCCCTGCTTCGTTGAAGAACCAAGAACGAAGCTGAGCATTTGGTAGCTATATACAGCCTCACACTCACAAGGACGCAGCACAAGTTCATGCAAAAAAGTCCTCGTATGCCCACCATTGTGGTGAATCGTCCGGCGTTTCACCGGCATGCTGGCAGAAAGGCTTCAATGCATACCAACGACTGACAACAGCAAATTTTGAAACAAAACTAAGGTGCATCTTCAAAGGAAGAACAACTACAAGTATATATCATGTCCACTAAATGATTTCTGTCCCTTCGACGTCCTTCTGGGAAGTCGCCTGCTCGCTTCGTCCAAGGTCACGGGAACAGTGTCGAAGTTGGGGCCAAGATCCATGTGTTGAAGAGCACCGCGTTTAGTGGATGTGGAACATTCTTCATCAATTGGACGGACAAATGAATGCACGGCCGTCGAATTCGCCGTGCTCAGGCTTCATGCGCCATCGTCGGTGCCTTAAGGCCCCGTTCCGCTCGCGCTGTGAAGCTCAAAAGCAGCCCACATCGGTGTTCTGAGCTGTGGGGTGTGGTGGTTTTTTGGCCTCAGGTGACCAGGAGATCCTGCTTCACCGCCACTGCGAGCCACCATGTGCCAAACATTTGCCACTTGGGCAAGGAAATTGAGAGTTCGGCTCAGGCAACATGCGAACCAAAGTGAATCACAGGTGAATCACAGCAACGCGGCATTCAGACCCGATGCATTTGTGGAGCTGCCGTCACCAGGATGACTAGTCGAAGTCTAGTCGAGGTCTAGTCTGGCAGGTCAGAGCTCAACTACACTCCCTGAAACAAACATGGAAGTGGACAATCCCACGTTTGGAGAGGAAAATCGTTCCGCCAGAACGTCCACTTCCATGAGGACGTTCGAAGGAGGGTAGAATCTGAGCTCTGGGAAGGACTCAGAAGACTCCGCATCGTGGATGATGCATCGTGGGCGAAGCGCAAAGATGAACTCCGGGAGGCGCTTTGAGCTGAGGCTTTGAGCTGAGGCTGGTGTGATACCTTTGCATCTATATGTTGCATCGCTCGGCCACAGGATTTGCAGGTTTGAGGTGGTCGATGAGTCATGTTACGGGTTGCAAAATAATGCATTCAAATCCGGTTAGCTTGCACGGACGTTCTTCCAGAGTGTTGCATATTACTTAAAGATGCGTCTATATGATTCTATATGTATTTGTTTGTCTACATTTGGTTCGCACGTCTTTGCTGCTACAATCAATAGGCGAGGACTAAGATTGATGTACTCCACCCACTCGATACTCTATAGTTGAATCATGACGAATTCGAAAAGTGGTGTTGCCGTTCGCATAGAGGGGAAGGTGTGCGGTGAAAAGACACATTTTCCCATATAGACACTCCATGTATGGCTTGGGCTTGGGGTGGTTTCACGGGTGAATCTAGGTACGAGTAAATATTCCATACATGGAGTGTTTCGGATACATAGATAGTCTATCATGTTCTATCGACACAGCAGCCGTGCTCGGAAGTAGCTAGTGACCGCAACTGAGCAACAAAATGATCACACAAACAATAGATTACAGCACCATACAGCAACTCTATGCCATGTTATATCATGTGATGCAAGCTGTCGATGTGCCGGTGCCGGAGCAAGGTGTGCCGCAGCTTCGCACGCCGTCCACATCAACTGTCGACACACACATCGGACCGCGGCTTTCGCCACCGTCCAAGGCCGTCGGCGTCGCCCGGAGCCTCTGCCGGCTGTCCAGGCTGCGAAGGCAGTCAAAGGCATTCACAGTGCCCAAACATGACACGGCGCACACAGGAGACATGCCGAATACACAGAAACAATAAACGCAAACATGTCTGGTGATTGATGATCCAACTGATGATGTTGATGAATTTGAATGTCAACGGATTGCTGGCGGGATGTGGACAAATGACTCGACAGGCTGGAGGGCTTGCAGCGTCATGCCAGCTCCTATCGTCTGCTGGTCGGCTGCAGTCTGACTAAATCTGATTACTGACGCAGTTGATGCACTTCTGTTTACCCTACTTGTCACCGTTAGGCCGTGCACACCTTGCGCAGGAAGCTGGCCCGCGTGAACCACGCATGAACCCTTGGCACCGCGTGAACCGTCTCTTCGTGGACTAAGTCCACCCCCAGAAACCGAGCGAGTCGAGAGTCATCGCATGGTTTTTTGTCTTTTCCTCTGGATCAAGAAGCGATCCCACGATTCGACTGGACACCGAATTATGCATTTTGCCTGGACACATCGCATTGAAAGAAGAAGCGCTATGAAATCGGAGAGAGCGTGGACTAGCTGAACACCCGAGATCGATCAACCATTTGCAAGCGGCATGCCGTTGGCCGCTGCATAAACTACTGACTACAAGTCTGGATTTCTTGTCAAATCTGAAAATTGTGTTTGAGTGTTTTTTGGTTTTAGATTATTGGTAGTAACTGTAACTAGTAGGCAAGAGATCCAGATCGCTCAAAATAATTACAGTGCCACTCACGTGGACAAGCGTCCTGGCCAACGCGGAGATAAAAGAAAGAGTCAAAGAGATGATAAGGCCATGGTTTTTCTGTTTATCATCTCTTTGACTTTCAAGCAAGCTGTTCGAGCATGCAATGGAGTGTGTTTAGTGGAAACACACGTGGCTTTAACCATGTTGAACGCCGCCAGTGATTTTCTTACATAACTATTTGTTCCTGACGATGAGCGTCGCACAGTCTCGCCGGGCTAAGGGCATGGCCCTTCATGGGTGTTGGAACGCGCAAAGGGCTATTGACATCCAGAAATTTGGCTTCATCTTTCTGACCTCAGCCACACGTCACCCGAGTTTTTTTGGGCAGGCAATCCTCCGCATGTCTTGCCCATGGAAATACAAAAAAAAAGCATGCTTTGGTTTCCGTGTAGTATAATACCCCAAGAGTTGTGACCTGGAGTGCTGTTCTACCCAGCGGCACCATATTTCATGTGCCTCATGCCCTGAAGACTCAGCTGAGCTGCAGCCTGCAATCTTCACCTGCGTTCCAATACATGATAGCATTTCAAGGACTGTACGATATGATATTATAATATATTATAGTAGTGATCAACAAAAGGGCTTTGTTAAGCGGAGTGGATAGCAATAGCGATTAAGAATGAATCGGATATCAACAACCACCTCAATTTCATTATGATGCCAATCTCTCTCTCTCTCTCTGACAAGCCACATTAACACGCTTCCAAAATCAACACATAGCACATGCATCCCTCTGAAGGCGGCAGGGTGCGAGCAGATCTTTTCTAACTGACCTCGCACCTGGGCAGTGTCGCACTCCATCTATTCACATCGGGCGAACATATCTATCATGGGGCGGTCCACAGGGCGAACCTTTTGAATCGGCATGCTGCGCTGCCGAACAGATTTCATGCCCTTTCGGTGGATTTCACGATTGGCTCACTCTCCTCGGCTCTTCGAAGAGGGCTGAAGGCAGCAAAGCCTGAGACGGTCACTGTGAGGAGGGCCACAAGGATCTTGTATCCAGTGGACCAGCTCCAAAAGACGCAGGCCAAGACAATGTTCACGGAAGACAAGACCATAATGGCCTTGCCCAGAGTCCCATGGAATTTGAAGATACCTCTGCCTTCTCTGAGACTGGCCAACTTGCAAAGACCCATAGAACTTTGAGCCAATGTCAAGATCAGAATACCATAGCCCAGAATATCATGCGCAACACGAGTTGGAACGGCCCACTTGTGGGTTGAGAAGTTGTAGCCAAAAAAAGGTGTGCAAAGGCAAATGCGCCATAAAGATTGCTACGTAGCCACCAACTGCAATTAAGCTTGCAAGCATCATGAAAATTCGATGAAGGCTTCTTTGCTGCTCCTTGTCGCCTATCTCATCACTGACATAGGCCCAGCGCCCAAGCATCATTAAACATGGAAAGGCAACACTCATCAGAATTGGATGCCATGTGAAAGCAGAGCTCAAACTCTTTCCACCACCCGTCACAGGGCCTACCATTCCTACGGTCACCGCGACACATGTGGCGATCGCACCAGCCACGAACACCACGTCGGTGGGCTTCGCCATGGGAACCCTCAGCTGCCAGGAATGACTGCGCTCTGAGCGTGTACACAGGGAAAGCGTTAGGAAGCAAAGGACATTTAGAGAACGTGTTTTTTGAAATGAGGAAACTGACATCATCGTATTTCAAGCACATGCACAAGATTAACATGTTTGAAAGACCCACCCTATCCAAAGAAGGTGCAACCTTAAAGATCGGAAGACTTTCCAAAGGCAGGAATCCTTGAAAGGAGGAGACCTATAATACCGTTCCAAGAAGATCCAAGAAGGAGGGAAAGGAAGGGCCTTTTGCTGGAGGACGTGATTGGGACGAAGATGCAGGTGTCCACATATTGAGAAGAAAGGAGGAGTTGCTTTAAATCGGGAATCTTGGTACAGTACAGGAGGATTTTTTCATGGAGAGGATGAGAGAACAATATGACAAACCTTCTTTCAAAAACTCAGGTGTTTGCCATGGAGCAAGCACGTAACGGGGAAAAACGACGGCCTTGTAAAGTAAGATGTCGTTTTTTTTGAAAATGTGTCATGTTTCTTCTGAAAGAGACTGCCTTGTACAGGAGAAAATAATCAAACGTATAGTTCAATCCGATGCTCTTGAAATAAAATATGATTACATGTAAAAAAATAACCATTAAAAAAAAACACTTTATGTATTTCAATTGTTCCACGTACATGTGACCTTGTAACCTTGTACACGCACCAACCCACATTGTGTGTTGTAAAGGCTTTTGCTTGCCATCACAATGCGTTGTTTCAGGGTGGGTGCAATGTCCACGGAGACGCTTTAAAGGGGGTGTTCTAAAAGGAAGATGGTGTCCTTATGAAGGGCAGGACTCTTGAAATGTCCACTAAGGATGCCAAGAAAGTGAGGCGAGGAGGTCTATTGTACTCAGGGGAAAAGGGTGCCTAAATCCTAAATAATACCAAACGTTGGGGGAAGTGTTGGGGCGGGGGAGTGCAAAATCCGACCACAAAAAATACAATAAATAAATCTCACGAACAATATGTCGCATCGACATGTTCCAGTTCCAATGCTTCCGAGTTGCTAGAGTACACTACCGATTATCACACAAGGAGCTCCCATCTCTCTGCTTGCCCGAACAAACAAGCACTTGAGCCACAGGACCCACCACGTGATATGCATATGTATGTCAATGTGTATGTATAAACAAATTCTATACTATACAAATTATCTGTATCTATATAATATGTATATATTTATATTGATTGCGCAGGCCATGTGATCTGTATTCACGAGACAATGTGGCACGACACTTTCTGGACAGCATCGTGGGCGGAAAATGAATGTTAACTCTGCCCTTCTTCTCTGGGCTGGGCACCAGCCTTGTTTGCTTCCAGGGCGGGTTGGAATTTGCCATCTTCAGCCTTCCATGTGAGTGGCCGAAAGGCTTTTTAAGATAGAAAGAGAGCATGATCCACCGAGAAATACCGGTGGTTCTGGGAGGTCTGGGCGGCTGAGCCGAGTTCTGGGGGGCAGCTTGACCATTCGACCAGTCCTTTATCTGAGATTTGGAACATCAAAATTCCAAGCCAATCAAAGGGTGAAGCAATCGCCGATTCGATGCTATATATATATATGTGTATGTATATATATATATATATCCAATAATTAGCATGCTCGCCGACTCGCTTTTATGTTTGTTCAGAAATGTCCACAGCCATCTTTCAGGCTTGGTGTGCTGATGCGACGTGAACCTCACCAAAAAGCAGAAAGCACGTCTGGCACTCCAACCTGTGCACCGGCACCGACCGGTGGGATGGAACTTCCAGAGATCCACGAGGAAACTTGGTGTATTGCCTGAAGCGAACATGCCGGCGATGGGGCGGCACACACCGAGGAACATCTCTCACCACCAAGGGTCATCAATGGTCATTAGGAGCAGTGCAAGCATTGTACAAACCATCCAAGGTGAGTGGGAGGGACATCGTGAAATGGCATGAAAAGACTCAGCAACAGCGACCTCGCCCAACAACTGCAGTCTGGATTTGAAGTCCGCCTGGCAATTCAAAAGGAGCACATCAAGCTTCAAATCAAAGTGGTGAGAGGTCGCTAACTTCCGCATACTAATTGTATAGTGGCCCTTGTAATTACACACGTTTTCAACTGCCCGGTCTTGCTTCCAAGCGTGTGCTGTTGTGTGCAGCTCCAGGTCACGCTTTGCTCCAGCCTGCTGCTGGCGCTGCTCATCAGCACGTGCCTGACTGTCTGGCAACGCTGCGGCAGCGTTGGCTGCGATGGTGCTGCATTGCTCCTCACCAAACTGGGGTTCTTGACTTTTGGTTCAACTATGTCCTTTACAACAGCACAACCGTTGGACTCCTACATGCCGTGTGCTGGTTGTACAATAATTGGTCCTGAGCATCACTTGCCTCTTTGAAGGCCTTCGGGCAAGCCAAAATCTCAGGATAAAATCAAATTGAACCCTGCTTAAACAACAACAAACATGACATGCAGTGAATCACCCTTGCCAGGCCTTCAACACAAAGATATCTTGTCAAATTCTCCATAAACAACTCCATTCTAAACGGTCTCCGTCTCAAGCTGCCTATGACAAACGGTGTAAAGCCAAACACATGCTCACCCTGGCTACCGTGCGCATGGCGTGTCTTCGCGTCTCGACTCCACCTGAGCATGTTCCATGGCACGCTGCTGAGTGGCGTTGAGAAGCGACTGCCGGCTCAGGGTGGCAGCCTCTGCCTGAAACAGGGATGACAATGGGTGACAATGTATTGTTGTCTGTGGACATGTGAAAACATGTTGCATTGGGGGGTCGCTAGCTACCTAGCTACTGAAACATTTTGCCCAAGACTAGTCTAACACCTTGAATGACTGGTACCAGTGGTAACGCCGAACCAGTGGTTGATAAACAAACGATACGAACAACGAGCAGCTGCTTCAAAGTCACTGGACAAGTCTACGCCAAAGGTGCTACTATCAACAATACCAAACGATATATAGAGATATCGACTGACTGACTATAAAACTTATGTGCACATGGCATGGATCCGATATGATCCGATACAATTATATGTATAATATATTAGAATATATTATATTAGATTATTAGATAATGCTTTAGAGAGAGAGAGAGAGAGAGTGAATGAGAGAGAGAGAGAGAGCAAACGCATCCAGGTTGTTTGCTCTCCTCTCTCTGCCACATTTGGCTTTGCCAGTGCGGACCTCCATTTCCAGCTGTGGACGAAGGGAGAGCTGCCGACTGGCTGCCAGCAGTTGTTCTGCCAAGAATCTGCAGACTGCCTCCACAGCCTTGGATCAATGTCAAAGCCATTCGGTGAAGAGCCATTCCCCTGAGTTCGGTCTGATTTCATTGACATCCTCTGAGTTGAATTCATGGACCTCCTCTAAGTTCGTTTTCATGGTGACGACGTGACTGGCGACTGGCGACCTTCTTGTTTGCATGAACGTCTGGCCTTAAGAGCCCTGCAATCACATCAAATTCGCTCCTTTCCACCGGTTGCTTCTTCAGGGAAACGGTCGCAGCTGTCAACAAGGAGCTTTCCGCACCTGATGCCAAATGCTCAATCTGGCACCAAAACTAAACAATGGAGTTGTGAAATCCCCTCCTGTGTCGAGCAAATGCTGCTGCAAAGCTGCAAAGCATTCCCACCACTCCTAGAAAACACTGAAGACATCAATACATTCAATACATTCTCCCTTCTGGTAATAAGCTAGAATATGATTTGGAATTATTGTTGCTATCTCATACTGATATGTCAACATGTATAAAGTGTGTGCCTCTTGAAATGTTACATCATTTCATACTTGCGGCCCATCGCGGATCGGATAAGCATGCATAGTTTTTGTGGCAGGCGCAGCACGGTCAGATGTCCACACCCACTAAATTTAGAATCTAAATTGGTGTGGAAACCCAATCGCAAAGGGTGTCTCATTTCTCATGTCATACAGGTCAAGAGGTGAAACTTTCCAACATGCCAGTATATAAAAATCGAAAGTGCACAACGCAGAATCATGCGCGGGTAAAGCCATGTTTCTGCCTTTAAACTCTCTCCCTGTCCTCATCAGAGCCCCAAAGGCCCTGGGCCATGCAATCCAAGCGCTTTTGAACCTCCACAATGGCCTTCTGTTTTTGCGACAACTCTTGGGTCTCCTGCACTTCAAATCTTCTGTCTTTTGCACCCGATATCACACATCTCAAAGCAAAAGGCGCCCGAAACCCTCTTTTTCCGGAAACATGTTCGTTGTTTCGTGTGGTCATACGACCACTTCACCCGACGCCAACCACTCGCGGAGCAATGCGATGATGCGCTGCCTGGGCGGATTCCAGCGCGCAAAGGGCCACAAAGAGCTGTAAAGTCTGGAAAAAATAGGTCCGGTGCTAAACATCATTTATTGGTAAATCAACTCAAAAGAATAGTTTGCCCTTCTTCAATCATGTTGCGATTCGCATCTACCGTCTTCATCAGTAACTGTAACTATTTGGGTTAAAGCTACATTTTGACATCACAATCATCACAAGGGGAAATTACGAATCAATTAAACACCTTAAGTCTCTCATGCCTACCAAAGCAAACAACTACTGTCCACGACGGTTGGCCCGAGAGCGAGACATGTAATTGTCCAGCACCGTCGAAAAGATGTATAGAAAGAGAGAAAGAGAGGGTGGATGTGAAGGAGTGACAGCGTGATGCGCAGGTGCGATATAGATCTGTAGATGTATGGAGGTGGAGAGGTAGATCTGTGGATGTGAGCGTGCGAAGATGTAAATGCACAGAGACGAGAGAAAAGATATGTAGAAAGAAAGACAGGACAGATGTGAAGGAGCGACAGTGTGGATGTACAGATGTGATATTGATGTGCAGATGTGTGGGTGTAGTGAGATGGAGAGGTAGATCTGCGGAATATGTGAGCGTGTGAAGATGTAAATGTAGAGAGGTGAGGGGGTGTAGACGTAGATGCGTCGATGCAACGGCAGTGCAACGTCAACCTTAGTTGCGCAAGTACAACGCTGAAGAGGTTCAAATAGAACTGAAGAACGTACATTTCACACTGAAGTTTCCACGAACAGGGCGACCTGAGAGTAAACGACGTCACGATCATGACAAGCGACTCGTGTATTCCAAGCGAACATCGTGTGTGAAGGTGAAGTACACACATACTAACGTCACGATGACTCTTTTGTGGCAGCCACTTATGAGTAAGCAAAGTAGCTAAAAGTTGTCAACCTGTCAAGAGAGCCGGGCGGTCGGGAGACATGACTCAGCTGGAGGGGCGCCAGAGCGCCCGCGAGAGATGACTCAGCCGCGAGAGATGACTCATCCGCGTACTAAAGTTGTACTACAAAGTCGCCAGTTCTCAGCTTCCAGCTCCACAGCTTGCTCCGCGTACTAAAGTTGTACTACAAAGTCGCCAGTTCTCATCT